AAAAATACCTCCTCTTTTTAGATTTTGATTGACTGCGGTTCAGGTTTGTAAGAAAAATATATAGATATATGAAACCAAATGCATGCTGTTTTAGATAAGGTTATCGCTTTCGCAAGAAAAGCGTAGGAAACGGTCATTTGAATACTGGCAATCTATTTAATAGATCCGGCGTATTGTACTGGCGATTTATATTTTTATGCATCAACGAATCATGCTTCAGACAGCACAGAGATCTAGGTGAGGTTTAAAGAGATTAATCTCACTCCAAATATAAATACACGACAAGAAGATAACTATTATTTAGGAAAACGAAAAACGCCAAGATTTTATTCTCAAAGCCATGGAGAGGAAATGTTCTTCTGTCAATGTTATTAATCACTACTACGCATTTCTTTTTTGTACTATATCTTTGAGAATTTTATTTTGCAAATGCTAGTTAATGAATTCCTTTATTATTATCAGCTGTCTTTTCGACAAGCTACAAAAAATTCTAAGGAAACTTCAAGTGCTTGCCACTCTAGAAAAAAAAAGGTTCCAGGAAAGGTAAATGAAAAGGGTTACCTTCGGTCACCATTACATCATCACACTAACACAAGCATTACGACCACAATAATTTTGGATTTACGGGGTTTGCTTATAAATTGATATCCTGTTTCCTTAGTCCTGTGCAAAACATAAATAAATATAGATTCCTTTGAAAAGTTAATAAATGTCCAATAAGTTTTTCTGTATGTAATATCCCGGTCTAGGGATAATTATAACATACACATTTCCGAATCAGTTGGAAACATTTTTGTAAGGGCAATATATAAGGGTTACGCGGGTCATCGACAATTTATAGGCTCACTATCTCCATAAAATCTAGTTTGTTTCGATTTCCGAGGTAAAATACAAGGAAAAAAATGAAAGGAAATTTATGCTCTACAGCTGAAGGAAACGCCTACTTGGCAAGGTGGTTTGGCCTCTTTAAGGCGTTAATTGAACTTTTTATATGACACTGTCAAAAAGCTGACACGAGGACCTTTAATTAATTTTCTCCTCGTGCCCAAAAAGGAACCAAAATGTGCCAAATATCTACATTTTTCGCTATGAAATGGAACAAGATGGTGTTTTTTATTTTCGAGCGCAAATTTAATTACTTTCGAGCCTTTTAATATGATGTACAAAGGTCTACAAAGCTTCGAAAGCTCAAAAAGAGTTACGATCTGTCAATTTGAGTGTTGCTACCAAAACTGATAAAATTACAAGTTTCGATCTTCCGTGACATCCTGTCAGCGAGTCTATCATCTACTTGGAAGAAGACTGTGATTATGGGGTTTATTATTTAAAGCAAGTCGACGAAGATGTTTACTTAGCTAAGTATACGCCTGTGAATATTGCATGGAGTAAAAGAGTCATTGCACCTGTAGTTTGCCCATAGAAATCATATTTTAGTACTACACGTCATTCTATGTCAATTAAAACACAGTTTGGGAACGCCCCTGCTATGAATTACCGTTGCAGATCCTGCAGATTAAGACTGTCGCGATCGATAACGAAGTCCGCACCGTGGATTCAATTCATTTTGGTTGGCCCCCGTTATCTCAGACCAGTATCTCGCTTTTGTTTTGTGTTTCGAGAAAAGATTGAAACACTTAAGTCTCTTTGGCCGGCACCTTTTGTAGATAGACAGATTAAATAATGCAAGTGCAGTGATATCCGAAACACTAAAGTGAAGAGTATTGCAAGCCAAGCAAATAAACTTTTGGGGAGTGACTGTTGTCACAGTTCGTCGCGTCGCCAAGGCACCTAAGATCCTTGGGAATGACATGGACTTATATAAACAAATGCCCTTTATGATTAAAAGTGACTTCGAAAGACACAATCAACCAGCGAAGCGACTCTGTTATCATCTTTAGTGTTTTAAGACCGAGCATCCTTCAGTTTCATCTCGAAGCCAAATAACGTGCCGTAGTCATCGATCGCTACAAAGTGGAAACTTCTCCAACGCGGTCCATTGAACTCACAGCGATAAAAGATTCATCTTGTACACATTTGCAACTGTTACATTTTCTGTTAAATTTTTCAAGAGTAAAACCTTTCTCCCCAAAAGACAAAAAACATCGGCGTCGTCGGCAATCGTTGAACGGTCGGTTCTGCAGTTTCTAAGATGAGTAATTTGACTGAAAAGAACACAACGCAACCGAAGGAGGAGGACGAAGGAACTCTTCAGTTACCTGGTGCAACATATTTGATAGTCGCGTTGGGTTTTTGCGCCAATTCGTTCATATGTTTCGCATTTTGTTACTACCGAAGGATACGGACAGTGCACAACTATTTTGTTTTCAATCTGGCCATCAGTGACTTATTAGCTCTCGTGTCGTTATGCCTGTTCCTCGCGTTCCCGGCCATGCTAAAGACGATGTCAGACGAAAACTGGAAGATTCTTGAAATGTTTTTGATCATGTTTGATACATTTTGTGGCTCGGCCAGCGTTGCTAACTTGACAGTCATAAGTTATGATCGCTATTACTCCGTTACTAAACCACTGCACTACACTGCGAACATAACACACAGAAAAGCCGTTCTTTTCATTGTTTGCATTTGGGGATACGCGCTGGTTGTCGCACTCTTGCAGCTGCTCTACTTTGTACCAGACGTTTTCAAGTACGGATACAGTCCGTTCCTGGTGCTTTTCAACTCGGCGATCCCCTTGGCTGTAACACTGTACTGTTACATCACAATCTTCATCATCGCTTCCAGCCACCTACGCAACAACCCACACCGAAGTCAAGACCCAAGCGCGCCCGCCAACATCTTGACTAAGAACTTAAAAATATCATTTCATATCCTAGTTCTCGTGGCACCTCTTTTGGTCTGCTGGAGTTATTACTACGCAATAATCGTTGTCGAGGTGTACTGCTTGGATTGCATACCCTTAACACCTTTTGAGAACTGGATGGTTAGTATGATGACTCACATCATGGCGCTAGTCGATCCCCTAATTTACATTTTTCTCACTAAAGATTTTAGGAAGATCATTTTCAGTTGTTTCAAACCCGGGAATCGCCCATATTCCGTCAGTGAGACTTTTCATCTTTCGACCACAAGATCAACAAATGCCCATGCATCGCCAGGGACGGGCTCGGAAACGTTTATCATGGATGAAGATCAAATGGCTTCATCTTATCGCCGTTATTGAAAATGCTGGCAGCCGGTTTTGTGGCCCTGAAAACGTGATTTGCAACACTGTGATATAAGAGATTCTATATAAAGGGAAACATTGCTGGGCGACGCTGAAACAAGACTGTGGAGCGGAAACAAAAGCAAAACAGAACCAGACATGAATATTGAAAAACTAAATATTATGGAACTATGTGTTCAAGAAAAACAAAAGAAAGACAAGGGATTATTCGAAGACCATTAAATAAACAACAACGGGTTCAACTTCTATACATACATCAAAAAATTATCTTCTAAAGTTGCAAGCAGGTGCAGGGTAAAAAAAAAATTAGAATTTCATTCTGCGTTCAGATCTTGAGATTAAAAGGGAAGAGAAAAAAAAAAAAAAAAAAAAAAAAAAAGAAAAAACGGCCAAGCTTGAAGGGATCTGCAGTAATTTCTGTTAATGATTCTGCGTGTGTCACTTATAAATTAGATTCCGCAGTTACAATATTCCTTCTAAACAGTTTAATCTTTAATACGGCCACAGGACTTCTACTGTTTCGTTTTCCGGCAGCTTTCAAAGCTCTTTCAGGTAGTGATCGTTTCATAGCTTCCCGGTGGTAATTTTCAAGCTATTCGTTGCCACGATTGACGTGAAATGTAAATGTTTTTGGACAGTTGAAATATGAGTCATGAGACTAATAGCCACGTTCTGATCTATGAAAAAATAATCATAGTTTGTCAGTAAAGTAGTTCTGTACCGAAACACGAAGAAGCTTGGATCAGTCAGCCAACACTGAAAGCAGATATGCAATTCATCATGAAAACCTTTTTCATTTTCGCTCGCTCTTGGGAATGATGTCTATCTCTGCTTTGAATTCTAAATCTTGATCACGAATGCGTTTAGTCAGCGCTGTTCGAGGATTGTCATTAAGGCAGCTGTCACAAGCGCGCCAGTCATTTTGTCTCCTCATGCATTTGCAATTAATTTTCCTTTGTCAAATTAACTCTCCAGGAGCCGACTGATCTTAAAATTCAAGAAAACCCGACTTTAAAATCTTATTTCAAATGTATTTTACACAGGAGCGAAAGCGGCAAAAGCAAATAGTTAATCTCCGGGTTATTATGAAAAAAATCGCACGACAAAAAGATCAGTTACAACAGGCGATTTCCGATGCATAAAGCAGATTTGGTACAACAAATTACACCAGCCGTAGGATATTTACGTAGAAATGGCGTATTCTCTGTTATTACAAAAAGCCTTGGGGTCAAGTTAAAACTTTATCCATCGTGAATGACTCATTGAAAAAGATAGATGGCCGGAACTTTGTCGTAAGTCCATATTAATCAAGGTACGCGAACGCAAGATATCGAAAGATATATCAATATTGTTTAAATGTCTCGTTTTTTTAGGAAGCGGCGAGGAAATGTGTTTAGCCTCACTTAGATCAGTATTGAGAGTCTATACGCGAGATATTTCACAGCGAAGAGGATTTTTAAAATATGTATTAATTAAGAGAAAATAACAATACTTTAAAATACAAATAATTTTAAAAAGGTGATTTATAACAGCTAAAAGGTTTCTAAATGTGTTTAATCCTAAAAGCTTCACAAGGTCATATTGTAAATACATCGAAAAGAGGTCACAGTGCCCCGTCATAAATAATCGAAATGTCTAAAACGTAATACGGCTAAAATAGCCGTCAAATTTAAACCAACGTACATGGAGGAATATTTGAAGTTGCCAACGTGAAAATAGCCTTAGTAAACATACGGACAGGTCCTATCAATGTAAATCTAACAGATGAAGTGGTCTGTAAAATAAAACGCAAAAATAATGGTCAAGAGAGTTTTCGCTTTCTATTAGTTTAATACATTCTTATTTTCTAGATGCGCATCTTTCGGTGAAAGAAATGTCGTTTTGAAATTCTATCAAAAGAATTGTCTTGAACCGCTGCATAGGGGTTTTGAGTTTCATCGCATTTTCTAGAGTGGTTTGCCACGATAGAGCAAATAAAAAACACTCACTTGAATTAATTTTTGAGAGGATAAAAATTAAGAGTAGCCAGTAATAAGTTGCTAGGGTTTTACACATTATGCTCAACTTTTCACAATAATTATGCTAATACTCGATGCTCAAGGAGTCGCATTATTATGCTCAAAAGGTGTCACTTTTATGCTCCATTATGCTTCCATGAAAAAGATAATATTTCCCTTAAAGCTTATTTTATTGAAGCGTAAGCTACGCCTCATTGTGATTCTGGCTCAAAGTTAGGCAAAATGAGTTTTCTAGTAATGAAAAAAAATTGCTCCGGTTCAGCAGAAGAGGGTTGAATTAGCAAAATCGTCTTGCATGCTGAAGCTCAGTTTGAAAGCTCTCTTTCATGTTGAGACAACAGTTAGTAACAGATATATTACTCTCGGCCTACCCAACGCCCGGAATCAGCCAGTCTTTGTCATTATTATTTCGGCATAATTCTCGATTCTTTTGCTCGCAGGCTATTCCTGATGCATGCAGTAAAAGCAAAATGATTGAAAAAATAAGTGAAAATTGATGTAAAATTGCAATATTTTTAGGTGAAAATCAGACATTTTACCTGTCACTCTCTATTTCCTCCTGTTGCTGCCATTTGAAATTGTCTTTTTGTCATTAAAAAAGGCATGTCATGTTATTTGCTCCGAAATATCACAGGATAGATAAGAAATTGTCTGAAAATATTTCATCACCTGGAAAAATTGTCAGAAAGAGGAAGATAAGCCGTGGAGGACCTGAGCTTAGAACTGAAAAGGTCTGAGACGCTTTCCAATCGAGCCTCCGATGGAACGAAAATGAATATTGAATAACGAAATGATGAATATTACAGCTTGTGAAAGCTTTCTAAGTCGAATTGTTCTTTGGAGTAAAATGCATGACAATGACACCACGAAACATATCCTCTCTACTGGGTTCCATACATATCTTACAGTTTCAGTTAGAGGTGGTCCTTCTCAACTACAGATTTAGAGCACTAATAAGGGATCGCTGAAGGCGATATTTAGCGGAAAGCTATTTTGGAACGTTTTTCAGTGTATAAGGGAACGTTTGCTTTGAAAACAAATATGATTTCACTTGCATAATTAGTACAAATCCCAAACCGCGCGTTGTAATTTCAAATCCCTAAAACCTTGGAAGAAAAGAGGAAGAGTTCCAATTTTCCCATGTGAAATGTGGCCATGATTAAAAACTTTTGCCGGAATCTTCAATGTAACAAACCTGTGTAAAAAGGCTTATCTTTAGGAGGTGTGGGTTTCAAAATATGACGGTTATAGAAACCTTCCTTTGTTAGAAATTCATGACCAATTGGTAGATAAGAGGAGCCCCGCTTACAAAATCTACTAAATGGTATCAAAAAATTCTTATCGTTGTAAGGACGTTCGCGCTAATTGTTTCTGCACATCCTTACTGCGCACGCAAATTCACACGCCACGTCATGCATGAGAGCAGGCGCTAAGTAATGATAGGGCAGACGGCCATTGCTATAGTTTTACTAGATTTAACGATCTTGGACGTTCGGTGACCCCTACTTTTCTTTCCAGAAACAGATTTTATTTACAATTATCTCCATGTTGTCCAAAAATGAACAAAAAATCAATGTGGGAAGTTAAAAAGATTTCAAGATTTCTGTCCACGGGACATCGAGCCCTACCATCTTGCGGCTGCAAGGCGCGTGAAACTATGGTCGCTAAATGCGAACTTGTTCTTTAAGGAACCTCACCAGTTGACTAAATTCACTTAATAGA